CCCCCCCCCCCCCCCCAAGTACTGGGACAGAGCCTAGAACCATCCATGTGCTAGGCAAGCACTCTACCACTGAGTTACCTCTCCAGCTTTATTAAAAATTTTTTTTAAAAAACATTCTCACTGAATTGCTCAGAGTAGTCTCATACTAGGCATTCCTCTTTGCTTTAGCCTCCTGAATAGCTGGGATTATAAGTATGTGTCACCATGCTGGGCTCCTTACAAAGTTCTTTTACTATTTGTAACTGCCTTGTTTTTCATCATCAGGAAAATAGAAATATAATTGCTTCTTCATAAATTTTTTTTTCTTCATAGATTTTTGTGAGAGTATGTTTTTAGTGTTCAGAATAATGCATAGCATGTAGTAAACATATAGGAAATGTTTATTAGGATTTATTAATGTTTTAATCTGAGTTTGTGGAAGAATCTGGCTTTAATCAAGGGCTAAATTTCCTTTTCTACTGATACCTCTTCCTATCCACTTGTTCTGTCCTGCCACAGGGTAACAAGAAGGGTCCCTTAGGCCGCTGGGACTTTGATACCCAGGAGGAATACAGCGAGTATATGAACAACAAGGAGGCTTTACCCAAGTGAGTTGGTACTGAATAGGGGAGGGAATGAGGAGGAGTTTGGCACTTGGGTAGACTAGCCCCCACCAGGTTAGAGGACATAATTTAGAAGTCCCCACACAGGTATGTTGCTTACAGAGCTCTCTAGGAAAAACTTGCTACTGCAGTGCAACTTCTGATACCTTTACCTAATGGTTCTTCTCAGGGCTGCATTCCAGTATGGCATCAAGATGTCTGAAGGACGAAAAACCAGGCGCTTTAAGGAAACCAATGACAAGGCAGAACTTGATCGCCAATGGAAGAAGATTAGTGCAGTAAGTGGGACATTCTTAGATGGAAAGGTGTCAGCTGAGAGCAGACACTGGCCCACAGATTCAGGAACATTCACAGGGTTGGAGGGCCATAGCAGTGAGAGAAGCCTTGGGCTCAGATGAGCTTAGACTGTAGACTGTACTGTTCTCTTTGTAGATTATTGAGAAGAGGAAGAAGATGGAAGCTGATGGGTGAGCAGCTTTTACTTTTCTGTGGGACTCATTGGAATTGTTAGTGCATTGATTTTATGCTGACCCATTTTTCCTTCCATTGCAGGGTTGAAGTGAAAAGACCAAAATACTAATCTACTCCTACTGGAGAATCTCCACATGAATAGTCTTCCTTTTTCTTTTTTCCCCTACAATTCCTACTAAGGTTGCAATGTAGGGCTTTTTTGTGTTTGTGGATATATATAAAATTCTATTGTATTATCATTTGATTCCATTAAAGTTGGTTAGCCTGCTGTCTTCTCTGTGTTTGGCATATTCCTCAGGGGTCATTTAAACACCAAGAGGCCAGTTCTACTGTTGTGTGAAGACTTCCCTGATGGGGCTGTAAGTCCTATGTCTCACTCTTGGGCAGCTGTGAACCACCCCTGATATGTGCATACCCACCCACTGATGGTACATATGTAACTGTCCAATTGGGCAGCACAGCACAGTTCCATTGGGTAGTACAGACTGCCTGATGGGACAGTTACATATGTACCACCAATATTTCATTTTTCTTTTTTTTGTTTATCATCTTGTGACAGGGTCTCACTATGCAGTTCAGGCTGGTCTTGAGCTTACTTTGTAACCCAGGCTGATCTTGAACTCGAAATGATCTTCCTGCTTTTTAGCCTTGCGAGTGTTGGGATTACAGGCATGTGCCACCAAGCCTGGCCTACCAGCAGTATTTCAAACCGGCAGGAACACATTAAGTCACATAGAGAACTGGTTAACTGTATAGTGGTGTATACCTTTATTTTTTTTTTTTAAGATAAAGAGTTGCTATGTAGTTCAGGCTAGCCTGGGCTGTTATGTCTCCTGCGTTGAAAGAAAAGGTCACATGCAGAAAGTTACATCAATCTTTATTGAACTGTGATTCTAAATTTGTGGACAGGGGATAGGAATTTACCTTAGTGGCAGAATGCTTGCTTACAAAGCTGGAAGCCCTGGGTTTGGTCCTTGGCACCAAAACCAAAAAGTAAGCCTCTCCTAAATTTGTGGACAGTAAGGCTGTTTACTAGCCACTTCCCATTAGGAAAAAAGAGACATGGCTCATAGATACTAGAAGGTAAAAATAAGTCTAGGGAGTTGGCTTCCAGTTTAAACTTCAGTTTTTTCAAGTACCATCATGTCGCATTGAAGTGATCAGAGTTCTCTGCATGTTTGATGGGTGACAAAAACAGTACCACATGCTGTAGTGACTTTCAGGCATTTAGCAAGTGGGAGATACTGCCTCTCTGAAGTCCCTCTCACTTGTTTCATCTCTCTAAAGTAGTTGGACATCAATGTATCAAATGTCTTAGCCAGCAGTCTGGGAAACAGGCAGGATTGCAAGTTTGAGCTCAGCCTAGGCAATTTAGTGACTTTAGTGAGTGAAAGCCTTTCTGAAAAAGCCAAAACAAGGAGCTGGGGAGACGGCTCAGTAGAATAAGTGCTTCCCTGGCAAGTACAAGGGCCTGAGTTCTGGGGGAAAAAAAAAAAAAAAGCCAAAACAGATGCCCTTCAAAGCAAAAGTCTTGGAACGCTTAGTACCACAGAGCTGTGAGGAGGTTCACTTTGGCCACAAGAGCACTCGCCCTTCTGGCCCCCAAGCAGAGTGCTCCCACCATTGAGGCCTTTGAAAACAGGGATGTCCAGAACATGTTACGCCCATTTTCCTTCTCAGCTTGGTGGCCTTGAGCACTGGCCATCTGACCACCAAGGATCTGGAACCAAACTGCAGGAAAATTGCGGAGCACTTTTCATTTTATTGGGAATCCATAGTTTGTGTGTGCAGGATGCCTTGTCTGTGGCCCCCTATGTCATCTTTGGGTGACTGTGGCTTTTTTGCTGTTGCTTGAACACCCTGGATGCAGCTTGCCATGGTTTGAGTTTACATCCCTCTCTCCTATACCGAGGGGGTAATTCCTCCAGCTAGCTGAGGGAGCGCCTATTAGGATGCGGCAGGATGAGAATAAAATTTCTTGGAGTTTTTTTTAGCGGAACCAGGAATTGAACTCAGGCCCTTATGCTTGCCAGGCAATTTAACGCAGTTCCCAACTACATGAGACTACCAGTTAACTCCATGATTAGACTCGCAACTCTGAGGTCTGGCCCTGTCGGTTCACACGCCCCGACTCCCGGCGGCTGCCCGCCTCCTCTGACGCGTATGTGACGCACTTCCGCTCCATCCCAACACGGAAGCAACATCGGGGCCGCAACCGCAGATTTGTGGTTGGTTCGTGTGCTTGTGCAGGGCTGGCGCTCTGTTCGGAATCCGTCCGAGCATGGACAGCACGTGTGAGGAGAGGACCGCGAGCGATGGGAGCGACGAGGCAGAGTCTGACTTCGCAGAAGCCCCGGCCCGGATCCGGGACACCCCGGAAGACATTGTGCTGGAAGCACCGGCCAGCGGGTTGGCTTTCCACCCAACCCGCGACGTGCTTGCGGCCGGGGACGTGGATGGGGACGTGTTCGTGTGAGTGAGGGGTAGGACGTGGGAGCTTGATAGAGGCGGGCGCCTCTTTTCGAAGCTCTTCGGGGATGGAACTGGGATGGAGGGACGGCTGTTGCCGGGTGACATTGTGCAAGACTTATTCAGTTTTGAACAAGTTATCCACAAAGCTGTCAAAAGAACTGAAAGAAGCAACAGGGCGTGGTGGTGCATGCCGGTAATCCCGGCACTGTAGAAGCTGAGGCAGGAGTATTGTGGCGATTTCAAGCCAATCTGGGCCACACAGTGAGTTCAGTATCAGCGTAAACTAGAGAGAGAGACACTCCAAAACAACCCCAAACCAACAACAAAAAACTGCCTGAGATCAGAGACTTGGGGGGGGGGGGAAGGTGCCTGAGGCCCAGAGTTCCCACTTTCCAGTGTGAGCCTGAGACCAGCTCAGCAGGCCCCTTGCCTTTGCTTCTTTAGTGGATCTTATCAAAAAACACGTGTGTAGCCGGGCTAGGTGGCTGGCACCTGCTTCCAGTCCTAGCACTCAGGAGGTTGAGGAAGATTATGGCAAATTCGAGGCCAGCTTGCATACGTGGTGAGACTGTCTCAAAAAGACAACAAAAACCACGGGTAATCCTATCACTCCCTTGGTTAAAATTCTTAAGTAATCTTTTAGGATTTAAAACTACGTTTGTCTTTTAAGTTTTTGTCCACCTAGCTCTTACCAGATCTTCCTTTTACTTTCTGGGCTCCTATATAAAAAACCATGTTATTTTGAATATTTATTTATTTATTTTGTGTGTGTGTGGCCAGCTCAGCCCACCAGGGGGCGGGGCTGGCTGGCTGGCATGTGGTGCTGGGGCTTGAACCGCGGTCCCTGTGCTTTGTTTAGCTTAGCTTGTTCTAAGTAGGTGCTTTAGACCACTGTGCCATCTCACCAGCCCCCCATTTGTTATTTTGAACAGGATCTCCATAAGTACTTCAGGTTGGCTTTGAACTCAGAGGTCCTCATGCTTCGACCATCCAGTGTTGGAATTACAGGCTTGTACCACCATGCTGAGCTGTTTTCAAAGTTTTTGGCCTTGCCTCACAGTAAAAATGCTGCTTACATTATGCATAATGATTTCTGGTTCACTTTATTCAGTTTATTTTATTGTTATTGCATGCACACAGGATGCTGATTGCAGTTTACTATGGGTTGTGATTGGAGTTGGAAAAACACTGTTCTGGAGTGTAATCTGTAATGTTTTGCTCTTTTTTCTATCTCTTGCTTCTTGACCAGGATAGGAACCCAGTGCATGCTTAAACAAGAGAAACAGGCTGGAAGTGTTAGAAAGCCCCTGACAGTTTATAACCCAGAGACTTGTGTTATGAAATTTACATAATTTGTGTCAGCCCATCAGTGGTAATGGCTTTGGGCAGGATAACTTCTGTATTTTCTTCTCTGAAAATGGGAATGACACCTTGAAGAAAGGACACTATTCAGTACAGCCCCCCAGCAGTTCAACACATGTAGGTTGTCTTTTACTATTACCCTTATTTATAGTACCTGGTACTTGGGAGTTTCGTGCCCTACACCTCCACTTTTCTTTCCACTCCCCAAAATTTCATTTACTCAGTTTATCATAAAATTCTCCATCTCATAAATGGTTCAGGAGAGCAATGATACTCCCCTATTCTTCACCCTCAGCGGAGGCCTCCTAGTGGTCCTCTGACTCCTCCTTTCATGGCCATTCTCAAGAGGGTCCTTTTCCCCAAGAATAAAGTCAGACTGCCGGGGAGACAGCTCAGCGAGCAGCACAGCGCCTTCCTTGCAAGTGCAAGGTCCTGAGTTCAATTCCATTACCAAAAAAGCCAACAGAATAAAGCCAGACTTTTTTATTCTAGAAAGGACACTGATGTCTGCCTCCGATGTGCTTCTTGTTCTTTACCAAATGAGCTCATTTTTCATGACCTGTCATGTCACTTTAGTTTTCCGGGCCTTCTTTGCTTTTTGTTGTACAGATCAGCTCATGCCCCAATACACGTTCAGCACATCCTCCATCTGAGCTACATCCCCAGCCTGCTGCATCTCATCTCCCTTCTCAAATATTCATTCAATTTGTGACTATTTCTTAAGCCACTTCTTCATGCTAGACATAGAGAAGACAAATGAGCACACTGTTCTGTACACGTGGAACTTACTGGCAATTAAGTACTCCTGACTTTGGGCCAGTTACAAGAACTGCTGAGACAGTAATTGGGGATTCCCTGGATGGGTACTGGCTTCAAAGCTGAGTTTACAGGCTGGTCCCTCTCTATTTGACCTCCATTTTGGTCCTATGTCTTTGTCAGCATTTTCACTTGCTTCTTTTTTTT